GGGAGACATAATGCTTAGAGAATTATCAAGAAAGAAGTTTAAAAATATAAAGCAAGTTATTAAGCTAAATACTATAACTGTATGTCAAATAATAAAAATAGACAATGATTTTATAGATCTTAGTCTTAAGAAAGTAGATGAAGTTGAGAAAGATGCTATGATGAAATTGTTTAAGAAAAATAAAATTGCTTATCAAATTGTTGATAAAGCTGCTAAATTATTGAAAGAACCAGTAGCAACCATTTATAAAGAAAAGTGTTATGTGGAAATGGAGAATCATAGAACTTTATTTAAGTATTTTGTATACTTAAATAGTTTAATAATGAAAAATGTAAATTTGACTGATAAGTATGAACAAGCCTTTAGAGATGTGATAATCAAAGATTATACACCACAAAGTTACCACTTTAGAACAGTTGTAGATGTTGCAAATAGTAAAAAAAATGGCGTTGGTAAGATTAAAAAAGTGTTTGATAAAGTGATGGAATTTGATAAAAAATTAGAAATACACTTATTAAGTGCACCCACCTATAATATTACAAGGACATGTGTTAATAGGGATGATGGTTTAGATATTATTAAAAAAGCCTTAGTTATGATAGAAAATGATATTAAGGAGTGCGGTGGAAAATTTCTTTTAGTAGCACCGCCTAGAACAGTTAAAGATAAATCTAAAAGAATTTTGTTAATTAATGAAGATTCAAGTAGTGATGATTATGAAGAATTTGAATAAACGAATTTTTTATAAAATTTTATTTAAAAATTATTCATAATTTATGAAAGAGAAGAAGAATGAAAATGTTGAAATTCAAGAAGAAGAGTATTATCAACAGAGATGTAAACAGATTAACGGACTAAAAGAGGAAGGTATGGATATATATCCACATTATTACGAGGTTAAGAACTTATATGATGAGATACTGTCTGAAGCAGAAATTTGTGAGAAAGGATCAAAAAATGAGGATAAGGTATTTCAGTCAGCTGGTAGAATTGTTTCTATTAGACAACATACTAAAGTAAATTTTATTAACGTAATAAAAGATAATGTTAAGCTACAATTAACTTATTTCTTAAATAAAGATTTAAATGATAATTTGATAAGTATAATTAGAAGAAATGATATAATAGGATTTAATGGAAAAGCCGGGAGAACACGAACTGGTCAAACAACATTATTTGTTGATTCAATGAAATTATTATCTCCTTGTCTTAGAAATGTGCCATCAGTTAAGAATGTATTTACGAACTTAGAATCG